CAGGAGTCAGCTCAATCAGATAAATTAATGTGTCTCTCATTTTCTAGGTTTTGGAGGAAAGCAGGAGCTTTATCAATTATAAAAGGTCTGGGTCCAATAAATCTCCCTTGTCCCCATGTATATGAACTAGTTGGTCCAACCCATCATTTCTGCTGTTCAGTTTTCCTTGGGGAAATTTGAAGAACATAAAAAGTTGTTGGTGTACATTTTTATTTGGCATTAGCAGATCTTCCACAATGACCTCTGTTTCATCCTGCAGATGGGGATATAATGCTTTAGCGTGTCTCAGAAAGTGGCAGGTGCAGAGTCTTGTATTTTCTCTCATAACCTGAACCTGTCAAAACACCCGACTTAAATTTCAAATGGCAGAAATAGCCTTTCACTTAAAAGTCTACCTGTGATCTCCTCTCCTGTTCTCATGGAGAAACATCCTTTGAAGATCTTCCTCAAATCTTTTGACTCCAGCCCTATTGTGAATGTGTTCCCTCCTAGGCTGTTAATTCAGCCTGATGTCTGAATTTGTTCAAAACAGCCATCACCATCTACTGGCTGGTGTATCACTCTTAATGCTAACAGAGCTCTATGGTAGCATGTTTCATGACAGTAAGGGAATCAGATGAAGTCAGGTATCACTGTGATTTACTACATGATTACAGCACATAAAATTATTAATATCTTGTCAAAATCATTTTATCTAAGTTATATTATTTATTAATGCATCTGATAATTTATATCTGTCCAACCACAAATGGAACACCCTCTTTTGCCATTTCAAACTCCATATATGGGACCTCAGATTACGTGACGTACAGCAGATAACAGGCTATTTCCCAAAAGCTTATTAGCCTTCTCCTAGCCCACACGACCTTCTGTTTTCCAGAAATCAGAAGGAATTTGCCACAACAGCTTTGTATTCATAAATCTCAGTACATGATTTGTGTGCTGTATGTAACTAGAGAAGACGGCTCTCACTTTTGCCTGACTGGGTCATCGTGTTTTGCCTGCAGCGTAGGAAGCAAAAGATGTTGCACTGAATATTGGCCTCTCCACTCTAACACACCACATGTAGATTATTTGTCTCCACTTCCAAGGTTTTTTCTGGCCTACCTACTTCCCTACTTGTTGACTCTTACTTTATCTCAATAGGAGGTAACTCCCATCTCTGCTCAACCCATGTCTGCCCCCCTTGCCTTCCATTAAACAAAAACCCAGCTTTGGGCTTGGTCCCATGCTGCTCTCACACTTGCAAGGATGTCTCTGTAAGCATCTGCAAGAAAACCTCATCATCCTCTTTCAGACAAGAAGATGAAATGAAAACACATCATAAGCCCACTGGACTGCCATTAATCATAAGCATGCCACAGCTGTAACAAGGGTCACACAGCTCAAGTGTCATTTTTGAATTGTCATGGTTATGTTTATTCTTACCCAGCATTATATAATGAACATCTCACACATATGATGAGATCCAGCAAAACACCGTGTCTCTTCATCTTCATCATTACAGATTTGTCCTCCAGCTGTTATAACCGTTTCTGTATTTTTCATCTGTATTTCTTTGCAAAATGCATATGGAGGAAGATTATTTCATAAAACTCTTGCTTTTACTGGGTATCACTGCTGTCTGCATGTTGAGCACTTCTGCATTGTTGTGACTGCCTTCACATTTCCTGTAAATAAATCTGGTCTCTGTGGTATGCTTACCCCTCCTTTATGCTGCTGAATTAGATGCATTTCTGGTTTTCACAGCTTGTTAACACTAATTTTGTAAAGCATATTTTTCAGTAACCTGGTACTTTTTTTCCCCAAAAACCATATTGCTCTCTGGTAGTAACTTTGTTCTGACCAGGTAACATGAGCTGTATCGTAAATAATTCGATCGGTCTGTTAACTGTTCAGATGTTTATTTTTTAATTTTATCACATTTCTCTGTAACAGAATGCTCAATAGTTTCACATAACAGTTACTTTCTCATGAAGAAAAATGTTCCTTTCTTGTATGACAATCCTACACTGACGAC